CCCCCCCCCCCCCCCCCCCCCCCCCCCCGGTTATTTTGCTGCAGCCGGGCCTCGGCAATAAGTGAAATAAGCCCATCCTAAGAAACCAAAGGTCGAACGTTCTCTCTGATATATAGATACTAACACAGAACAAGGTGGAAGGGAAGGGAAGAATAGAAGTTCAGAAGATTAGAAGAAGGGAAACAAAGAGTAGCGAGGGGAAATAGGAATAGAAAGACAGTGGGCTAAGTCTGACATATATAAATACCCCATAGTGTATCTCCACATCATGTATGTACACTCACAAATTGGCTTTCTAATTAAAATAAGATATACTCCGTGTTCATATGGATACGTCAAAATAGACTCTACTGTCATATATAACTACAAAGAACAAATCAAATTTTCAGGTTAAAACCCCTTTCTTCATGGTGACTGGGATAGAACTGAGGGCACTGCGGAAAGGATAAGTGTCATTCATCTGGCCACGGTTCACAGAACAAAATGTCCTGAGGGGGAGGAAGCCCTGCTTGGCAAAGCAATGTCAGGGAGGCAGGTGCTGTGGTTCAGCCTGTCACTGCTGGACCCTCCCCAAGGGCATTTCTCAATAAGGACTCTGCCTTGTATGCAGTCTCCAGGTATTTTCTCTGGTCTTTTGGCAAACTATGCCACTGCCCTGGAACAAGTGGACTATGAACATCACTGGAGAATACATAAATAAACTCCACTATTTTACCAGTTAGGGAACTTCACCATCTTTGTGAATTATAAAAAAGTGAAAAATCAAAGTTTCCTGATGCCAATCAGGGACCAGACTGATAATAGCCTCCTGAGTGAAGAGCAATATGCTATGACTCCTCTGGCCCACAGCTGAATCTCTATGACAGAACTGAACACTGGCTGGATAAAAAAATGTCTGTACTAAAGATATAGACTTACAAATAAGAAAATGTGCTCATCTTGTAAGGGATTATTAGCATAAGTGTCAGCCCTTAAAGCTAACTCACTCTCTTTTGTGGACAATATAAAACGAGAGAAATTGAACATTATTTCATGGGCTACAAATTTGGATGATGTTTTGAAAGTTCACTTGGTAAAGAGCAAAAAGGCAAATCAAACATGCTCTTTTCTGTTTTATAGTTTTCAGAAGCTTTCTTCTTCCATGAAATCAAGCTGAATGCAATCCTGGGTCCTACCAGCTTCTGCTAATACTAGTCCTGACTTCTTGCTAAAGGTACTTCTCAAGTACCTTTAGTAACATAGATGTCTCTGGATCTTTTCTTCTTGGAAGGAAAAAAAATTCCTGAAGTATAGAAATAAAGAGAGAAACAAGTCCCAGTACAAATCAATTACTGACATTTTCGTTCTACCAAGTTGGTAAATAGACTAAAATGTGGGGTTGGGAAGGGTACTGAGATTAGTCAATAGGTGACCATGCTATTAAACAATAATATAGAGCAATTTCTGACCATTGTCTCTAGCCTGGACAAACAGAAACATGTGAGCCACCCACAGTCATATACAAGTATTTGACAACCCATATTGGATTCCAGTCATCCTGTGTCTACTTTCTTTTGAACCCTCTACCCATCATCCTGCTGTTACCTCTTCCAGTTTATAGGTGCCAAAGCCCAGCCTAGGAATGAAGTAGCCATCACTGAGCTGCACATACTGATGTTCRGAATTCATTGCTGTTACTCTTCAGCCTAAGCAGGTTTTGCTTCTCTTTATGCCTTTAGAAGTTAATAAATAACTGGAATCCACAGTCCCAACTGCTTATCTAATGACTAAGCAATTCTACGTGATGTCTAATAGTTAGCTAATATTATACATATGAAGTGAGGTTCAAGCAATATTCCACATATGAGAAGAGAATTGGAACCAGGTCACTTTTGTCTTTTTTCTTTTTTTGGAGCTTTATAATAGGATTTTATTAGCATTTAAAAAATGTTACCTACCTAACAATAATCATATAGTGGGGTAAGAGATTAATTTGAAAATGTTTCTACAGTAATTTTACTACCAATGAAGGAATATTAATATGAACATATGACCTTTTAATCCATCCATCTAGAAGTGTTTATTCACTAATAATATTGTTTTCTGATCTAAAACCATCTTTTCATCTTGCTTTTTCTTCTGCAGCTGAACTAGAATTTGTATTTTTTCGCCTAAAAAAATGAAATGACATATTCTTTCTTATAAACTATGTTCTCTGATTTTCCTGTCAGCCTGCTTCAAGAAAATCCATGTGTTCAGTATGCTTGCTCGCAGTATGGCCCATATCAGATGGTTGTTTAATCCAAATATCTGAGCTGCAAACTGAGCTGATCCTTCTGGAGAATGTATGGTGGAGCAGCCAAGACCACTGGGTAATCGAAGAGAAGACCACACATCCTGAGCTCCCCAGTCTGATGTGAGGGGAGGACAGCTGATAAATGGATATGCAGTGTTACCAGACATCACTGGGCCCAAACCATTGCTTCTGCCTGCCACTGCCACAAATACAGTAGGAATGCCATCCCCTTCATACTCAGCTTTAATCCTCAATGTTTCATCTGGTCCTTTATGGGCAGATGTTACCCGAAGTTCACAGGGAATTCCATAATTTCCATAAGCCTTCTTGATTTTTTCACAGTGGCCGAGATCAGAAGTTGAACCCATCAGTACTACAACCCTGCACTGACTTTCTGATTTCAGAAGCAACTCTACTCTCTCTGCAACCCACTCAAAGTTTTTCTTTACCATTTCGAGCCCTTCAGGAGTTACTTCTTTGAGGTCACGGTAAGACTGTTTGTCTTTCTGCTGGCTTCGATCCCCTGATGGCCAGAGTCTCCAGAAATCATTATCAATAACATCAGCAAGAACAATTTCTTTGGTGGTTATGTCAACACCAAATTCAATCTTCATATCAACCAATGTACAGTTCTGGGGCAACCAGGATTTCTCCAGTATTTCAAAAATAGCTTGTGTAGCATGATTCATGATGTCCACTTCAGTTTGGTCTATAGTAACTCCAGCAAAGCAAAGTTTTGCAGCAATTAGCTGTTCCTCAGACCACTGTGGATCATTATTGGCATCATCCTTGAAAAAAATCTCCACTTTTGGTGGGTAAAACTTATATCCTTCCTTGACACCAGAATTTCTTTTAAGAAAAGAACCAGTTGCTATTCTTCTACAAATCCATTCGATTGGAATCATTTCACACTGGGGCGCAATGAAAGCTGTTTCTCCACATTTTCTGGTGAAAGCAGTTTTGATACCTGCTTCTTGTAACAACTGAAAAATACAACTGGTAATTTTATTGGAGATTGCAGCTTTTCCTTCCAGATGATTCTTTCTGGCTGCATTTCCTGCTGTAATCTGGTCCTTGAACTGCAGAAGAACTTTTCCTGGACTATCTAACAATTCATACACTTCTTTTGTTTTACCCTCATAGAGTTTCTTACCAATGTTCAGTATTTCAACTGTCGCCATTATTCTGAACGGACTGGAAGCAGCGACCACTCTAGGAAACGCGGCTGAAATCTGGAAAAGAAGGGTGGCAAGAGCCAGGTCACTTTTTCCATATGGAAAAACATTTCAAGTAAATTACTACATAGTCATAAAAATGTGTTAGTTTTCATAAATTTCCCCTTATATTATTATCATGAGTTATTATGAGAGACTGAACCATTATTGGCCATTTGTTAAAAGTGGAAACCTCACATCCCTGGTTTTTTTTTTTTTAATTTTCTTTGATTTTTGTACTGGTTTTTTGATGTTGTTGTTTGTTTGCTTGTTTTGTTTGTTGGTCATGATGAAGCCTCTTCTTGATCATACATTATTAGAAATGATGAACTATTACACACCATGCACATAAACACAAAGAATTTTTAAAAAAGGATTATGGACTATATTTTGGAGTCTCAGAGAAATAATCAAATGTTAAAATGAACAAAAATTAGCCTTTTTAGTTTACTCACCTGTAAAATGTCAAACTTCCATCATTTGACTACTGAGTCCCAAGAAGATGCAATCCTAACAAGTATGTAGTAAAATCTGCACTCACTATGACATTCTGCTCAGCAGAAGACAAATGATTACAACTGTGCAAAGTTCTTTTAAAACAGGCTACCAGAGGCTAAAGTTTATTATAGCTTTTACCGGTTAGGTAACTACCAGAAATAATCAATATGTAAGATGCAAAATTAAGACATTTTATATTATTTATTAGCATGTCCAAAACTATCCATAAAAGATAAATACTGGAAAAATATTTATGTATTTTGGAATAGTTGTATAAACTTTTGATATACTAATGGAATATTTGAAGCCATTGAGTCAAACATGAATATTTATTAATAAAAATTATTACATAAAGGAATAAGAGGTTTTAATTGAATTAAAAGAGAAGAACTATATTAATCAACAATGTCATATGTTCATAAATGATTCATGATCAAAAAGGAAAGACTACAAACTGTAAGTAGTCATTCTTTCTGCGTAGTGAAACTAGCATTGGTCTCCTACATGCTTTTTTAATCACCTAGATTTTTGGTCTGTTTTATAATTTGAAAAAGTGTTTACTGGTTCGCCTCCCTGGGTTGAGGCGCCGTGCTGCGTTCCACCCGCATCAGGCTTCCTGAGTGGTCACGCGGGGCAGGGAAGTCCCAGAGCGCGTGGCAGGATGAAGGCACGCAGCGAATGGGTGGGGATGGCGGCGGCCGGGGCCTTGCAGGCCAGGACCAATGGGCTGCCTGCCCAAGCACTCTTACTGCCTGGACCTCTGGCTCTTAGTGCTTCTGGACGTGGTGCTGTTCCTCTTCATGTACCTCTTGCCCTGATGGGTTTGCTGACATCCCAAGATCACTGGATTCTGGAGTGAATTCTGAAAATGAACTATAGTCTTCTTGAACGAAGAAGATGGGATTGTGCTACTGCAGAATTTCAAGTCTCCAAGGGACCTTCCTTTCTTTTTACATATTCTTCTAACTCCTTTGGGGAACTACTGTAAGGGGGGTCCCGCGGAACGTCAGAGGGAGAGACCACACAAGAGACTTACTCCATGCAATTGGCAAAAGGGGATTTATTGGGGATCCATTCCAGCGCGCTGGGACTCTGTGCCCACTCAAGAAGGGAGCGCAGCTCAGAGCCCAGAACGGAGGTCAGGTGGAGCTTAAGTACACTTTTTGGAGAGACAGTGGGCTTTGCATACATCAGAACAAATCATCATGAGGCGCGGGGAAATTGAACAACAACTCTTGAGATGTGATTGGCACAATCATTGGCGGGCGAGGGTGATTGGTCATTTGTAAGCGGGTTACACATTCAAACTGATTGGTTTGGGCCCTGTGAGGAACTGCACAGGGCCCTAGGCTAAAYGGCCAGTAGGGCCTTGTTTTAACTATCTCAGGAATCTGGGTGTAACAGAGGAACTTAATAATACCTAATCTTTTACATTCAAGCTTTCCAAATTAGAAACTTTACCCTTTCACTACTAAATGAATAGTGATCTCATTCAAAGCCAAGCTCCTAAAACTAAATGCAGTGTTTCACATTTAAACTTTTTTCAAACATCTAATGTCTTTATAAGGACTGGTGTAGAAGTAAAATTTGTACTTCAAAGCTTAGCATATTCACAGAGAATACAGTAATGTCTTTTCTGTTGTAAGGGTTGGTCTGGGTTTAACTCAGTCACATAATGTGGAGTGTAACTAGGTGAGGTGAGGTAGTTGTAAATTCCAAAGTTATTCAGAATTTTGAAAAGGACTAGTGTTCTGGGGTTGTGTAGAGGCTGTCACTAACACAAGCTGTATAGAAAATACAGTCCACAATCTATTGGCTCTACACATGCTTAGTTTTTAAATGGTCTTTTCATGACCTTTGAAATGCAGGAGGAGGGTCACAAAGGAGATGGCATTACACAGTGAAAAGCCCGCCTACATGCCCTCTTGAGCACCCTCAAATAGGAATGTTTCAAGCCTGTTTTGTTTTTTTWAAATTTTTGTATTAGGTATGCTTGTGTCCAAAACATTTGCTTCCATATTGCTTGTAACTTATTTGAATACCTCCGCTGTCAGTGTGATATTTACTCATCCTACAGAGCCCTCATCTTTGGCTGGCAGCATTTTAGACATAGCTGTAGGCCAGACAAAAATTCTTTCCTTTGTAGAGATTGTTCTGTCTTTGCTGTTCTTTTTAAAAATCTAATTGGTATTAAACTCAAATCTAATTGTTATTTTTTTTTAAGTGTCTACTTGTATAAAGTAAAAATCTCTGCCTTTTGCACAGATCCTATTTACTTCTGGTTTAGATTTTATGAGATCAAGCACTTCCTCAATCACACATTATTTGAAACAATGAACTCTCTTACCCCCCACACATAAACACCCACAGAGAATTTAAGAGGACTCTTGAGTACCTTTCAAATTCTTATACTCAAAAAACACATCAAAGATTAAAATTGAAAAAAAATATTAGCCTTGATGACTTTCTCATTGGCAATATATTTTCTGAATGTTCTTATTTTGCTTTGTAATAAAAATGTTCATTGCTCATGAGTGTACAATCTTGAAAATTGTGAACTAACACAAGTGCTATGTCATGCTCCTTAGTAAAGGATAAATGACAGCTAAGGACTGTTTTTCTAAAGATAACTAAACACTTGGGGTTTTTCTGAAAAGTGGGATTCTAAATGGTTGCTAAATCTT